GGGGGGGGTTGTATTTCGCTCCATTGCTGTTGTTTACTTAAAGGAAGGCCTCATTAATTTTACGTGTGGCTTGATTGGTAGTGTGTAATTAGTTTAGCTTGGAAAAAAACGCATAATATCAGAAAATTTTATTTCACTTTTATGGCAACATTTTCAACACGAGACCTGACGTGTGCAAACTCAATACAAGGCTATAGATACACAGTGGACAATCAGGAGGCCACAAAGAAAAAAAAAGTCGTATTTAATGCATTGCAAACATTTGCAAAGGCTTGACCAGAAATGACAAACAACGTGCAAAGTGGCATGCTATTCCACAATTTAATTTTTTTACAATGAGATGCATATGTTCAGTATCCTTTTTATACTTCTTGTTCCGATTGATTCGTTTGATGCCACTCGTTTCCCACAGTTTCCCGGCAGAATCCACTGTCTCTGTTTTCCGTATTGCTAATTTCCACTCCACTCTCCAACCACAAGGCCCCTCCCGCCTCGTTAAGCGACTAATTGTGAGCCATGGGACACGCAAGAGAAGCGGGTGGCGCGGGGTGGGGGGTGCGAGGGCGACCCCATTATCAACCGGCTGGATGCACCACAACCCGACAGCCGCTCTCCCACACTCTTCAAGTTCAAGCCACCTGCACAAGTAACCCTCTGTTGTCTGGCGCCCTTTGCTATTCTTCTATTGGTTTGGACCTTTTTGGACACAATAAAACACTGAAAACAGATTTGGGGGCGGGGAGTATTTATAATGATTCCCTCTTTGCTCCATTATGTGGTCTTTTCCGCAAGTGACTTTCTTCTGCATTCTGGTTGGCTGAAATGAGCTTTGTTGTTTTGACAGCAAAATGAGTTTGGGGAGTGAATTAACAGCGCCTCTGTTTGCCCTGTAATGTCATTCATGAAAGGGTGAACCCATGCCAAGGCATCTGCGATGCTCGTTTGTGTCTTTGAGTTAGCGTTGGACAATAGATCCCAATGATGCAATGTCACTGGACATTTTAAAGAAAGGGCTTTGTAGCCACAAGTTCAAATATCAGCGAAGACTGCTCGCCAGCTGATGATTGGTCACGACAACAGCTCGCGGTGACGCTTGAGACGTGACCTCCTGAGACGAGATTCCACGGGTCACAGTTCTGGTTGCGTCATGATGCTCTGACCACGTTTGTCTTTTCCTATTAGGATGATTACATTTTCATCATGTCCCAAAGTAAACATAATGGCAAGTTGTCAGGCTTGGCGTTTGTTTTAGCTTGAACAGTCCCAAATTCTCAAGCAATCTTCTTCAAACTCGATGTCAGGCTAGCACTTCGGTGGTTCTGAAAATCTCAATTTAATTCCCAGACAATGGAGAGGATATGGAGAGCGGATTGAAGACGTTATTAAATAACAGTACTCATTTATCTTTCTAGTCGGCTCTTATCTTGATAAATTTAGTCTGCTACTTAAAGTTTTGGTAATCCTCCGTATGCTTCTCAAATTTCCAGACATTTATCATTTCAAAACTTTGAAAACATTTCTCTTGACTTAGCTACAAAAAAGTTCTTCATTCCACTGAATTAACTTCATGAGTGTCGGCGCTCAAATGTACCAGCATGCAGCGAAGGCACCGCGAGATGCCATCAAACACTTGGCAGTCATGCTGTCTGCCGATTTAGCGACCGGCATGATGCATTCAAGGACGAGTTGGCTCGTGCGCACACACACACACACACACACACACACACACACACACACACACACACACACACACAAACACAA